TAAAGGTTAACTGTTGTAGTAATGACAGGTAGGACAGGGTGTAGTTATGTAGTACTGATAGAGTTGGGGTAAAGGTTAACTGTTGTAGTAATGACAGGTAGGACAGGGTGTAGTAATTGCAGTACTGACCGAGGTGGGACAGGGTGTAGTTATTGCAGTACTGACCGAGGTGGGACAGGGTGTGGGTGTTGACATGGCAGGGCAGCAGGTGTGGTGCCTGGAAGTCTGGCTGTGGGACCTTGCGGTAGGAGAGCTTGAAGCCCTCCACCTTGCCCGGCTTGCTGGGCAGCTCCCAGAAGATCTGCACAGTCGTGGTATTGAGCACTTTGGTAAAGAAGGTGGGGGCGCTGGGCACTGAGGCAGTTTGGAAGCAGAAGGTTTGAAGCACATGGAGAAGGATGCAAGGGGAGAAGAAAGACAGACAAAAAAGGGAGAGTTTACATAAGAATACAAATGACCGGAACACAAATCACAATTTAAACCCTCAATGCAAATGAGCGCAGGGATTTTGCTGGGGGCAGAATGACTGCATCCACCCACTAAACACAATCATGAATTATCTCAAGCAAAGCAGACTCTCGCTGACACCAGCCTTCTACTTACCGCCCCCTAGCGTCGTAGCAATGACAGTGCTGGACTTCTGGCTCGCTCCCAGTGGCGAGTAGGCTTTGAGGTAGATGGAGTAAGTGGTTGCAGACTCCAGGTTGTTGAAGTCATGGTGGAAGGTGGTCTTGCTTACGGCCTCCTGCAGCTCCTTAGTATCCGGCTCTGCGGTACGGCAGCGGCAGAGAGATACGACTGTCAGCTAACAGTGAGGCGGCAGGGGTGCAACCGTCTAATGAAAAGGCCGACAGTTTTATCACCATGGAGACTTAAGCTGTTCCAATAAACTCCGCATTTATCTCATACACTACACCCTGTCATTATTCACAGTAGTTATTTCGTTTCCGGACACATCTCCTGCGCCCCATCACAGATTGCATACGTAATGAATTCGGGACAGCACGCCGGAGCGCTGGGACTCTCACCGCCGATCTTGCGGATGTGCAGCACATATCCGATGATGCCGTCTGTGATCTCAGGCGGAGGCTGTGCCCAGCGGAGCTGCAGAGCCGTGGTGGACAACACGACGGCCGCCAGGTCCTGCGGGGAGTCAGGCAGCTCCTTGGCCAGCGAGACGGCCAGGCGGGCGCTGGCCTGGTTGGTGCCCGCGCTGTTCTCCGCGATGCACTGGTATATGGCCTCGTCTTCAGATGTGATACGCGTTACGGCAAGGGTGCTGGTGTACGGAATTACAAGCAGACGCATCATAAGAATTGTATTAAACTGAAATTAAATGATTTAATATTACTGTACCTCTCCATTCAAAGCTGAAGCATATAATATTGTTGATACAGTATTTTGTATTCTATGCAATTACAGATCTTTTACTGACACCGGGTTAAAAATTGTACAGTGAACAACACTGACATCGTGTGGCCAAGTAGACAAACTGCACTATTATGATTGAAACTTGTCAGTTCCTTACACGTTTCCGAAATGATATAAGCAGTAAAAGGCAACCAGATTAAGTTGGCTGCTCATTTACAAACACAGAAATCCTCACTAAAAATTTTATTTTACAAGAGTATTATTTTACAAGTGCACTATTATTGCGCTCGTTCACAAAACCCCTAGTAAACTAAAAGTTATTAGGAAATATTGGCGCTACTGAGTGAATCATAAAAAAAAGGCTAAACTGACCCGCATTCTTGTCTCACACCCCCAAAGATCGCAATCTGCAGGTTCATGTTCGCCATGAGTCTTGAGGGTTTCTTGCTGCAGTTTGATGACCTGATGTATCTAAATACTACGATCGTGCCCTATGCTGCTGACAGTACGTTCCACCCACCCTTGCAGCACTGTACTGAATGAGTGATTCTAAGACAGTATTTTTCTTATGTGATTAACAGAATTTGGCTTTTAGTCAAATATGAAGAAGAAATCAGCTTAGATTCAAAGCTGATAGTCATTTTGTACCTGTTATTGTTAGTGATCTTGACATTGTCTCCAGGTGTCAGGATCTTTCCATTCTTCAGCCAGATCAGGTGAGGGTCTGGGACGCCCTGAGCCACACAGGTGAACACTGCACTGCCCCCTGCTGGCTTGGAGACAGACTGCGGCCATTGCAGGAACTCGGGGGGAGCTGAAAGTCAGAAATGGTATTTCGATGTGACATGATAGAAATAACCAGTATAGATGCCTGATAATTAACTAAAAAGTGCACACTGCAGGTCATACGCTACAAACCAGATGGCACTACTCAGTTTTCAAATTAATTTCCAGCCTCAGCACTTGCACCAGTGTTTGGGAGTCCCTGGCACTTCTAGTAAAAACGAGAGAAACCCCAGAGGGATGAACACAGAAAGCAGAGGCAGAAAGTTAATCCATCCATTTTATTGCGAACCGAGCAGATTAGACAGCGGCTCATGTCCAGTAATGTGTAGGAGGAATCTGCTTAGAGACCAGTGTGTCAGGCTAGTCAACATAATGAAACATCTCCCCAGCACGGTTCAGGATTTAACAGGAGAAAGAAACTATCCTTCACAGGATAGTTTCTTTTTTTAGTCAAAAAAGAAGGGCAAAAACCTAGCAAATGCATAGCTAAACATATGGACAATCAGGTGCATTGGCAGGTCTCTCAATCCATCAGAGAGATCGATCCTATCAGGCCAGGCCACATTCAGGCCGCTGTCCAATCAGTGCACCCACAGAGCACAGACATGGGGGGTGTCAGAGCCCAGCCCAGCAGCCGTGAACATGGATACAGCCCCCTGCCTATAGGCTACTGAAAGGGTTATGGGAAGAGGTCCGGGGGAGGGGCGGTTTGGGGTTTCTAGGGGTCAGGGTCAAAGGTTACCAAGAGGCCCCTTTCAATAGGGAACCATTAATCAGTCATGCAATAACAGCTCTCATCAGCTGGGTTCCAGTTCCAGTTATTAAGGGAAAAATTGATTTTTGAGGCAAACATGATCCAGAAAGTGGTTAAATTTTACTAAACACTGCTACCTTTTGGTCTTGGGTTTGGAAATATAGCGGATTGTGGACTTCAAGGCACTGGCAATGTAGTATGCTATTGGCATACAGGAACCAATGCTGCTATTTTAATGCTAATTGTAGCATTTCTGAACATATAGGCTTGCAAATGAGAAGCAGATGTCTTAGACAAAAAAGTAGAAAGGGGCTTTTCAACTGCACATTTCCTGCACATTTCCTGCGCATTTTAAACCTGCACATTTGTTTGTGTAATATCAGACAACAGATTCTGTTTTTTACCTAAACAAAACTGAGCTTCTTTAACTACTGATCTCAGTTAAAAATAACTGCTGTTCACATATCATTATGCATCACAGTCTACAGCCTGTTGTGGACCGTAAGTCCTTAACCTTGCTATACAGATTAGCTTCCCTGCTTTGCAAGCTGCACTAAAAAAAATCAACATTCTCTGTAGAAATTCCTGGAGTTAAATATATGCCTTAGTATGATCCATCCATCCATCCATCCATCGTATCATACTCAAGTATATGGGATGTCATATTTAGTAGTATTCTAGTATTCATTTTCATTTAATGGTATTGAATGAAATATCTTTATCATAAATAATAACACTGTATATTCTGTTATTGCATGTGACCCTTTCCGTCTGTCTCTACCCTCCCCTCAGTTGCCCCCCCCCCCATGGTGGAGTCTCCCATTTCAGTGCCGTGACAGAGAATCCTTGTTTACATTCAGAGATACCTCAGTCACTCTTTGAACCTGAAGGCCATGTGGTTCATTTGGATGCTGAGGTCTTATCTTGCTGGTCATATTGTCTGTTACAGTGCATTACTTTCCTGTTGTCCTTATTTGGAAGCCTGCAATTACTATTAATGCAGAACCACCATCAATATTATTGCCTAGTATCCCTCAGTACTGCTGTAACACGTTCCTTCAGAGGGCCTTATCTTCAAAGTGACACTATGACAGCCTAATCAATGAGCTTGGTGCAATAGTTAGTCACCAGAAGATCAGTGTCACTGGCTATAGCTGTAAATCTGTAGATAGCAGCTCCGCCCTGAGCTGGGGCAGGAGGGCTGAGGGAGAGACAGGCAGCAAGCTCACATGTGTAAAGCGCACAGCTGGTCGGTCACAGATAGGGGGCGCCATATTTACAAGGGAGGCAGCTAATACACAGGGATACAGCTGCGGAGAAGCCACTTTTAGTTAAATGAGTAGAAGTGCTGCCAGGTTATGTTCCCAGTGAATGAATATAGACGAGATAGTTATGGAGCAAAAGTTATACAAAACACTGCAGAACACCATATATATTATGGCTATATATGCACAGACTCATACACAGAGTCACACACCACGTATGTCGCAATTTCTGATAATTAACTATTTTGGAAAGGAGAGTCTGTGGCCAGTGGAGCTGGACTAATGCCTTCGAATAGTGTTTTTTTTTTCCATTGTAATGCTCGTCTTAAGGGCTCTGGACAGTCTGTCACAAAGGGCAGCCTGTTCTCCAGCAGCGATAGGTGGCCAGCAGTGCTTTTCAGCAGCTGCCGGCGCTGTTTGGGTCGCAGATCAAAGGGTAACTAAGGCAGTATCTGGTCACTGCAAGCAAGTCAGGAGAGGCTTCCTGTTCTTGCCAATCCGTACCCTCCATTCCTTAACAGTTCAGCTGCAATTAAAAGTATATAATATGCATGTCTATTGCCTATTTTGTAGACCAGGAACCCCACTGAGATAATTAATGTGGTGATCCTAAATTCTGATATATTATGCAATCAATATGTAGTTATCCAGAGGTACATAATATGTTTTTTGGCATACTTAATGTAGTAAACACAATTTTATTTTCTTTATTTACTTCCTCTGATAATATAAATGTTATAATAATTATTTAAAACTGATTTGGCTGCTTTTTTAAAGAGTGTCTGCTGTGACACACAATGACCCCTCTTCCTTTGTGTCCGTCCCTTATTGGTCCTCAGCTTCCCCCCCCAGTGTGACCACCAGCTGTGAAAAAAAGCCGTCCCCGTGGGCCAGGATGTCAAAGGGGAGTGGGGGATGTCCACCCTCATCTGTCAAGGTCCATCAATCTTCTCAGCAGACCTAACCGGACTGAGGACTGCGGGTACCTTCCCTGGACCCAGCTGGCCCCGCCTACCTCTCTTGTCCCGCTGAGGGAAGGTCAGGGGTTAGAGGTGAACGGTGCCCCTTTGCATGACACGCCGCCCCGCCGCCTCTCGCTCCTGTGCTCCAAGTCATTTTGCCTCCCATTGTCCGCCTTGCATCTGGTCCGGACGCCACACACGCAAGCTGGCCAGCACCATGCCTTTTAAACCCCCCCAACACCACCACACAGGTTCAAGACCAAGGCAGCAGGCTGGGCCAGGCCCGGGGGGGGGGAGGGCAGGGTGAGAAGTATGTGAAACGGCCGACCTTGCTCCCTCCCTACCCCCCCCCCAGATCTAACAAAACCTGACCCAGACCGATACTCATTTGGTCATTTGGATACAGAAAAAAGTGCAGAAACTAGCAGGTTTTCCCAGCTTTGTCCCAGGGACCATCTGGAAGCCGACATGACCAACCAAACATACCGCACTCCACACAGAGAGAAGGAGCTCAAATGGACATGCTGACACATCCTATGGACACTGTGCATCACCACTGACCAGGCTGCACTTCCAGCGATGATGATGTCATTGCGATTCGAGACTCATAAGCAGGGATGAATGCAGTCACACTCAGTATGTTTACATGCGCAGCTAAGTCGAGCTACAGTCCGACTACGCCGTTTAACGGGAATACTGTCCTTGTTCCAGTATACATGCATGGGAGGGGAACCGATTTATTGACCGAAGTATGTCTGACTCCTCTACAGTAGGTGGCTCCTTTCAGCTTGTTAGTATTGGGCTTTGTCCAGCTGATCTATTACTGACTGGATAGTATGTGTGTCTGGAGTGATGCTGGAATCAGTGCCAATGATGGGGCAGGAGCCTGAAGGTAAACAGCAACGTGGAGAGGAGCTTCAGTGTCACAGCCTGGAAGGGGGGTGGGGGTGTAACCAGATGGCACTATGGGTAATCAGTGACAATTGGAAAGGGCACAAAAGGCCCCAAGGCAGGCAAGACACGTTCCAGAAAACGGCAGAAACCAGACTCTTTGTTGGCCTCCAGAAATCAATCAATAAATGAATGAATATGTTTAGCAGCACCTCAGCGGAACAGCGCATCCTACCCAAAGGCTATCGATTGGTGAGGTCAGGTCAGCTGACAGAGGAGTGGACAGACATGCTGACGTAGCTGGCTTTTACTTGCATTTTATGAAGCTGCAATTTCTGCTGTAAAGTATTAAAACACCTTGCAATTACTCTGTCAAGAAGTTTTTGAGCTTTCACAATAATATTACTAAAACTTTTGATACGCACACACACGCACACACACATACATATACAAAGTGAAATGAAGATTACTATTACAATTAAATATTAATACGTAAAACAGACCCCCCATTTAGAAGTGTTTAGATGAGCCAGTGGCCGCATTCACAGTCTCACAGTCTAATATAAAGCGGATACATTAACAGATTAACAGACGGCTTGAGGTGATAGATGGACTTTCTGGAGTCCTAGCAGTGCTACTGCAGTTTATGAGGTCTATTAGCTGGGCCCAGCTGGATCCCCTATCAGTATATGGGTAATTATGCAGTGGGAGGTGGAGGCGGAGCCTCAGGTCTGAGGTGCTGTAAGGTCCTATATGATGAGGGGGATTGGTGACATGTTCAATTACTACACAGCTTATAACACAGTCTGCTGGCTCAGGCTCCGCCCCCATCCCCCCAACCTCACCCCCGTACTCATTACAACCCTCTGGCCACATACATGCATACACAAACACAGCCACGGGCACTGCGCATCTGTCCATTTCACGCTCTGTTAGGTGCTCTGTCTTGCTGATAGCAAACCGCCCTCATCATGAAACTGATAGAAAAGGGAGGAGCTTAGCTGTGAATGGCAGTGGGTATTACCAGTATGAACCAATCAGAAGCAGACAAATCTGACCTCACCTCTGCAACACCTTTTAGGTGACAGGCAGGGTGCGAATAAAATGGCTGCGTGAGCAGCAGGTAGGACAGTGAACCAATCTAAAAGCTCAAGTCACACATCAAGTGCTGCTTTTGTACATTTAGACAAGACGGGTAACCTGGATTTCTTCATTTAAATGCTATGCTAAAACTTAGATGTTTAGATACAGGGAGAGAGATACATATATAAACACCATTTAAGCATGCAAACCGTAAAATGACAATACACTCTTCATACAAGTCAACGGAGAGCAATAAGGAATGTTCTAGAAAGCAGCCAGTCCCCATAGCTCTCCTTTGCCTTGCCGAGCACGCTCACCTTGCACCACGAGCCGGCCCAGGGCTGTACGCCTCATCCTGGTCCCGGGCCGGTTGGCAGCACACACATAGACACCCGAGTGCTGCAGCGACACGTCGGAGATCATGAGGTTGCCCGTGCCCAGCACCTGGATGCCCTCCACGCCAATGGAGCGTCCGTCTGTGGACCAGCAGTAGGTAGCATTGTAAGAGGTAAAGACCAGAGTGTGCCGTAATGCCCAGGTTCAGCAGACACATTCAGTGGCATTCATTCAACGGATCAGAAATGCCAAAATAGCACCCGAGTATAATAACCGCTATAGATATTACTCATACTGCACTGGGAGGCTATTCCCAGTATTGTACTTACGGGGCAGTTTTCATAAACTTAAACTGCTTTGCAGACGATTCAAAAACAATATACAATTGCACAAAATACAGCATTAAGTATCGTCTGTGACTAATTACTGGGAAATAAGAGGGAGCTATTCAGTGCCAAGTAATATATGCAGGGCATATACATGATATTGTTTGTATTGACATACAGTAGATCATGATTGGTCAGATTATGTAGATCTGTGTGTGGGTCTAGATTAGAGTCAATTGGTCTGAAAAGTACTGTAAGCCCTGTGGGTCCAAAATGGTCTTTAGTATATTAGATGGTCTGTAGTTGTGTGTGTGGATGCAAACTAGCCATTTGCTTTAGATGTATTGCCTATTTTTATAGACATTTTTATAGACAGTATTTCTGTGCTAAAGCAGACTGGTCTTTATCTTGAGATGGTCTGCAGTTTGGTGTGTGGGTCCTGATTGTTCTTCAGCTTGGGATTTGGTGCCGGATATCGTACCCAGTCGACTCCAGGACACAATGGGCCGTGGATTCCCGGTAGCGATGCATTCCAGGATGGCCGTCTGGTGCACGGTGAGCGTCAGGTTCTGGGGCCCGGAGAGGATCACGGGCTCCTTATAGATCCGCGAGGCTGTGGCTGCAGAGAGGGAGGCGCTCATGAGGCTCACAGGAACTCCATCAGCTTATGATAAAAAACTTCTTTGTACAAACTGCACTGTGCAGCTATAATACTCTACACTAATACTAACTATACTAGCAACCTCTATCCACATCCTGGAGTATAAAACTTAGTTGACTGACAGCTTGAATCAGTGGCAGAACAACTGTACACTGAGCCCTGGAGCAAAAATGGACCACGGCCCCCCTTTTTCCAAATTTACACCTAGGGCCTGCCTACTCCAGCTGTAGCAGATGTAGATGATGAAATTTAAGTAGCCTCCAAATATCATACCCATCATGCACTGCAGTAGTTAGCAAATTCCACAAACATGCTTTTTTTCCTTAAATACACTCCTCAACAACATAGCTTGACTACAAAACATTACAAACTATTACATTTCAAAATTGTTTTAAGTATTGTACCAAATATTTTTGTATTATGACTCCCACCATGATGAGATAAAAGTATCATGTCACTTTTATATTATAATATGAATGAGCATTAGCACCTTTATCCTCCCAAATGTTCTGCATGTGTGTGAGATTTATAGTCAGGGGGGCCACTGAGGTAGCCAGGGGGGGCCTGAGCCCTAGGGCAGTTGCCAGTCTAGTCTGTCCCTGGTTGGAATGAATATTATACTTTCAATAATTTCCATAACACTGATCCAAGAAGGCCCGCTCTGAAGATTCACCATGACCCTGCTTAGGGCAAGGGTTATAGAAAATGTGTGCACAGGTAGATTGTTCAATCTTGTACAACGATGCATATATAACATGAAAAATCTGGACCTTTTGGGCTCCTTATTCTCCATTTTCTCATACAGGAAGTTCCCAGGTTATGAACAAGATCTGTCCCCGAAATCTGTCTTTAAGTTGAATTTGTAGAACATTAAGTCAGAACATTAATAAGAAAAGTACACACCGTACTGTACTGTACCTCAAGGTAACAAACCTCTGAAGCAGCGCAATATTTGCACGTATATATTAAACTCAAATTTTTAATATAATAGGCTTTATGGCAGTCCGTTCGTATGTAGAAATTGTCCGTGAGTCGGATGTTCTTAACGTGGGGACTGCCTGTATGCGTAATTCTGTTAAAAAGCCATTTTAGTTGGAGTTAGTACAGGTCTGTGCCTCTTGGAGCACTGAAGTGTTGTTATGTATATCACACATATTATTAATTATCTAGAAACACTAATCCTATATGTAGTCTGGGTTAAGACAACTCACTGGTGACATTGAGTTGGGCTTCGTGACTGTAGCGCGTGTTGGCGATGTTGGATGCCACACAGCGGTACAGCCCAGCATCCCCCTGCCGCACACCTGTGATCTGGAGGATACCCGCAGGAAGCAGAGTGTACCTGGACAGGAAGTGAGGTCATAGGTCAGGCTAAGCAGCAGTCTTTTCAATACAGTAAATCTTATTGCCATTAGATGCATTGTCTCTCTGTTCTTTGGTTTTGTCTCTGTCTTAACACAAGGATGTGAGATTCTAAATATTTTGTTTTTAACTGTATATGTGTAAATATGTATGTGTGTGTGTGAGGAGGGTCAGATATTCATTACATTTTGCGGACCAATTTTATATAAAAAAAAAATAATTTTTTTTGAAAATCTTTTACTGCAATCAAAAAACTAAAAATGCCAAAAGACTTTTGTTTTGTTTGGGTACTTATGGTTAGGGTAGGGCTCGGTAGGGGTTACGGTTGTCATAGTTGGGATTTGGGTTTCCCCCATAGTAATGAATGGAGAGTCCCCACAAAGACATAATTAATAACCTGTGTGTGTATTTGTGAGTGAGCGAGTGAACCTGTCCAAAATGATTCCAGAATGAGTCTGTTCTGTGTATGTGTGCATGGCTGTATATTATGTATGTGTGGTGCTCTGTATCTCTCAGGATATTTTGGACCAGGGTTTTCTTGCTGTCTTTGTCTGTGTGTGTGTGTGTGTGTGTGTGTGTGCATGTGTGTGATCACAGTACCTTGTGTCCTGATGCTGTGTGTGTGTGTGTGTGTGTGTGCGTGTGTGTGATCGCAGTACCTTGTGTCCTGAGTGCTCAGCGCTGTGCGGTTCCTCTCCCAGGTGATGGTGGCCTCTGGGACCCCGTTTACCTGGCACTGGAATCGGGCCACTCCCCCCATTTCCACTGACATTGACTCAGGATGGGTGTGAAACTTGGGCAAGGCTGGTAGAGATTTAAGAGACATGGGGGGTGGGGTGGGGGGTGACATTTTAAGTGTAAAGCAGTGTCAATTTCTTATAATCATTAGAAATCACACATATCACATAACTGAACAAAGACTGGCATTCATTGTCCTACATTTAGTTTCACAATGTGAGGGGTGAGATGTGACCAAACAGACCCTCCTGTCATTACTGCGGATCTCCTCAGCATCTGACAGACCCTTTGGCTCTTTGGTTCCGCACTTTCAGACTCAGGGTTTTACTCCTAAGAATAACTTTCACAGGGCTAAGAAATTTTTAAAGGTTAAAAAAGTTCCCCAACAGGGTTCCCCAATTCCAGTCCTGGACTAGAATCATTTGCAGATCTCCCCGCTCAAACACACCTAAATTACACACCTAATTACAATGTTTAATGGGTGTGTTTGGATAGGGAGATCTGTAAACTGTGTTGTAAACTTTCAGCTCATATGCCAGTTATGTGTCCATCCATCTATGGTTCAGCTGCAGCTGTAAATGGCTCTTCATTGGACAGGTGGGCGGGCATATTTGCATACCCAGACTACTTATCACAGGATCATCCCATAAGACATGTACACAGAGTAAAAATGTATACAATTCAATTTGCTTCAGAATTTTGTTCCATAATGTTTTCAAAAAAACGAAGCTGAAATGTTATTCAGACAAACACATTGAGGGACCCTAATAACTTTTTCCCTCTCATAATCAATAATGGGGGAGGGGGCACTTTAAATGAAAGAGCATTGCCATGGTAACCTCTGGCCTGGAGGGAGCACGGCTTTTGGATGGTCATAATTCTGCTGGATTAATCATGCCCCCCCCAGCTGCTTTATAGGTTTGAAGAGAGATGGTGCTGTTCTTTGAGTTAAGCCCCCATCCCCCCCAGAAGGGCTTTCAGGGGGGAAGCTGGGAGTTTACGGAAAAGCAACACAGACGATTGGGACAAAAGCCCTCAATGACCAGAAACAGAGATACTCCTTAGACTGGTATAACAGCCAACTCACCCCACATAAAAATGAGCATGAATGATTGTATCAAAAAACAATATGCATCATGATTCAGATGTTCTGCTCAAGCATGTGGGAAAGCCGTATGCTTTCATTTTCAATGCAATAATTTTTACAACAGAGATAATTTTTTAAATAATACTTTTTTCACAAAAACATGCTGAACATTGATTGTTTTATGCAATCTTTTTCGCTCATTTTACGAAGGGCTCCATTGATTCCTGAGCTGACTGCATAAGCGCTTATTATCCAGATTCATGCCATGTTAATTTAGTTAGTTTATTTAACAAATGTAAGATGATATTTTACAGAATTTGAATTAACCCCAATGGCTTTTGCTGTGCACACATTTAAACGTAGCACATGCGGGCCTCATCCCCCACCAGGGTGACCCCCTCCCCACTGTGACCCTTAACAGGGCAAGCAGAATGGGCTTGGATGGCTGGAAGGGTGGGTGGGCATACGGGCCTTGTAAAGGATGTAAATCAGCAGCCTGCATCACTGCCATAAAGATAATCGAGTTGTACAGCAGTGCTTCCCAAGCCGGTCCTCCAGAACCCCGAGGAGGACTGGGAGCTGGAAGCAGTCCTACCAGGAGCTGGGAGGGAGCAAAAACGTGGACAGTCTGGGGGTCCCCGAAGACCAGGTAGGGGAAAACTGTTGTAAAGACCTGAAAACCTGGAGTCCCCCCCCACCCCCGCAAAAAAGCTCCACACTCACATGCGATCTGGACCCGGGCTTTGCGGCTGACCAGCATGCCGAAGCGGTTCTGAGCAGCACAGTCATATTCGCCGGCATCCGCCTCGCTGCTCTCGCCACGTTTCTGGAAGTTTCTGATGAGCAATGTCCCGTTGGTAAGCACGCTCACCCGCTGCCCCGTGGGCACCGGCGCGCCATTGCGCCGCCAGGTGATAGTGATGGGCCCCTCCCCCTCCACCTGACAGTCTAGCGTAAGGGGGCGGTCCCTCACTGCGATGATGTCACTGGGCTCCACCAGGAAGGCCAGCTCTGAAGCTCTGCTCGTATCTGCCAGGAGAGGAGATACAGGTCAGAGTCACCAGCAATGGCAGATGCTGTAAGAGATGGTTAGCTGAGGAAGGTGATGATGATGATGATGATGATGATGATGATGATAAGTGCCAAAAATACTCCAAGTCATACAGTATGAAAAACAAAAATGCATATGGTAAGGATAAAAGTCTTGGCCTCTCCATATTCAGAAATGCTTTAATCATCTCTACAATTATCACACCTTTTGTTCAATATTTTGCTATGTTTTCTATTACTGTTGTTTTTGAATGACTTATACATTTACTTTTCACTTGTTTAGCAGATGTTTTCACCCAAAGCAACACACAGCAGGGTGAGGCAGACCCAGGGGCAGCTGGGGCGGCTATGGGCCTTGCACTGGCCGAATGCACATGGGCTTGCTCATGACTGGCACACAGGAACTCTCCCATCCTAAACGAGAATCATACTCCTAGAGCAGTGTTTCTCAACGTTGTCCTCAGAGATCCCCCAGACAGGCCAGGCTTTGCTTCTTCCGAGCTCCTGGTAGACTAAGGATCTAAGGATCCCTGAAGACCAGTTTAGGAAACATTGTCCTAGAAGAATAAGCTTCCTCAGGCTATTAAAAATCCCACACTGGGCTTCCAGCTTGGCACAACCAACAAAACCTCTGTAGTTCATCCAGATGACTTCCTTGATTGACCCCCTTCCCCCCAAACACTGACATGTCTCACACCCTATACTTGCTAAATCCTATCTGCAACCTTTTTCCACTGGTCCACCTTGTATGTCCAGTTGCAACGAGCTGCTTGACTGGTTCGCGCTGAGTTTTCATGCTATGCTAATTTCACAGACTGGCTTGACATGGGGTCAGATGTGCAATTGTCGTGTTTGTGTTTGATGGAGGTGCAGTGGAGGATGAGACTGAATATGTGGAATGTGTGTGGGGGTGCAGAATCATCAGGGCAGATTTGCAGCTGGTATTCCCCGCATCTGATTGATAGCTTTCTTAGTCTCAGATCTGGGACACCTCTGAACCACACACACACCCACACACACATGCTCAAACAATTGGTTGAGAACCACTGAGCCTTGGCGGCCAGCACAATGAAGGGTTGGGAGAGGGGTCAGGTTAGGCTGACTCCTATTGAGTTTGGTGGGAGAGGGACAATGGCTCAATGACGGCCCCCCCTCCCTAAAGCTCCCCTTAGCCATCACGCTACTCTGAAGCAGCCATCTGCCCCCCTGCGCTCCCCATTCCAGCTTTTCTTTTCAGTCCAGCTTGGAGGTCACTTTCCCATGCTATTAGATCACTCAAACTTTGCCCTTGGTCCCATCTCAAAGCCAGCCCCCCCCCCTCATTTCGGTCAATCCTGACCTCCTCAATGTCCAACTCCTCTCTCACAGCTGTTGTGGGGAACAGGGTTTGTAGCGACAAGAAAAAAAAACTCAGCTGAGTGATATTTGCTCTTAAACTTGACCATTGAGATAAGTGAGGCTGTGAGGATTTTTCCATGACTGTTCCATTCAGCTTGGTGCACTTCCTAACACCCACAATGCATTGCTGCTTCTCTCGACTGCCTTCTCCCCTCAGTGGTTCCTCAGCCACTTCCTTCTGCTTCTACATCCACAAGCATCCATCCGCCTAAAACCACGAACCTGAACCTGACCCACTTGCTTCAAGATGCAAGATGCAGACCCAAATGAATTTCAATACAGTATCGGTTTGTTTCCTCTCCTTTTCAAGCATAAAATTACAGCTATTACGGTCAAACTGTCAATAAAAGCTTCATGAACTTACATACCAAACCACGTCAGCCAATTAAAAATGAGGAGCCATTTTGAACTGTTAGAAACACAACTGAACTTCCATTGGTGAATGCGCTAATTCAGAGGTTCCTTCTAACATTAATAATTATTGGTAGCTATGGGTTACTGGAAGTGTAACTGTATGTGTTGACATCTACTGCTCAGGCAGGTATTTCTGCTGGAGAGGAACCTTCTTCTGTGGTGATCTGTGGCACCATTTTCAGCAGGTTGGTTGCCCTCAGAGTTTATAAGCATCTGACAGCATTTCTGCTCTGATATCAAAAGCATTATAACAGCCTGAAACGGACTCGATTACTAGTCCTGCATACATATGAAACATTTATTTCAAAGTTCTCTGCCTTCGCTAGCTCCATTCCGTGTGATTCTGGTCATCTATCTGAGTTCTCCGACAGCTGCAATGGTGCCAGCAGCCCTGCCCGTCATTTGCATGGCTGATACATCCAGATCTGCAGCATCGGCAAAGGCCGGCTTGATTAAACCAGCCCTTTAGAGTCGTGTGCCCCTCCCGTGCTCTCTGCTTGTGCAGACACGTCTCTGCTTAGCCAAACCTGTCTAAGGACCTCTGTTGGCCTGGGTGTGACTGTGACTGAGTGTCCAGATCTGGGGATGAATTTGCATTGACCCCTCCCCTCCATCTGTGCATGAACAGAGGTGATCAGAACAGAAGGACCCAGGACCACCCCCACCCTCACTAGGCTGTGACCCCAACCCTTCAGGGGTCATGAGAGAGTTGGTGGGAAAGATGGGGCGGCGGGCAGCTTGTGTCCGGCCACCAAAGCCCCCGCCCCGGCCCCCGCTCCCATTGTCCCCCTGGGTGCCCGTGAACCCTGCAGCCCATTGTGGCCACGGCACTAAGCCATCCACGAAAGTGAAAGGGGGTCCGGAGAAAACTGGAGAAAGCAAACATGAGCAAATCCCTTCATTGACTGGAGCCTATTCGAGTTCCCCCCCCCCATCCCTATGGCCTTCTGGGTGTGAAAGGGGAAGCCAGCAAACCTGGACTCGAATATGAAACTGAGAAAAGCTCTCATGACAAGCCAGCAGGCTCAACATATGCAGCACCTGACGGGGTGCACCTGTTTGTGGGGGCCAGACGGACAGTGACATCCGCCACTCTGGGCTCCTACGGTAAATGAACTGGTTAAGGGCCAAGGCGTGATGTCACAGGGAGCTTGGAGGGTCCCGGCATCACCCAGTGCCATAGCTGTGGTAAATTACAGCACCCTAAAGGAATTGTGGGCATGACATCAGATCTGTCAACTATAAACAGTCGCATTTGCACATTCATATTTAATATTTCACGTCTTATTTTGCAGAAGTATTGGGTTCTGACTCCCGAGCTGGTTGGTCGAATATTTTCACGGGTGACGAGTATTCATTATAATTCAAATTTCAGGGACCAAGGAAACAGGACAAAAGATGCAAAAGCCTGACCGAAACTTACTTTTCTTTCTTTCTCTCTCCTCAAAGACATATCGCTGCCCCATTGTGACCTCCCACCCATTATCTCCATTACAGCGGCAGGAGGCCCAGCATAAACAATGGCTGAATGTGAGTTGTGGGCAGAGGGCGACACACAAGGCCCGGCTTGGGGGGAGCTAGCGAGAAACGAAGGCCCAGGGGCCAGGCTTTTGTTCCGCTAATGGGAGTTAAAGTCCCCCCTTGTCGGCCACTGAGAACCCTTAAAAGCTTAGCACAAACATGTTCTCCCAACCTGGCTAGCGCTTGGTGCGGCCCATTGTTTAAAGGCCGCCTGTCATTAACTCGCACGTGCCAAGTTCAAAGCCACATAAACAACTGCTTCCAATTACGAGGTAAACAAATGGAGGCCGGGGTTTGCTCCTTCCACCACCGCAAAGCCATTTCGGCTCAATTAATTGCTGAGTAGTTTATTACTTCCTTACAATTAACACTGCTGTGCTCAGCCTGTGAAGCCCTGCACCAATCATCACGCCGAAACCGATTTGCTGCCAAGCTGACAAGCATATCTCCCCCTAATATGACCAGCTGCCAGCATTTCAAAGCAAAACAGTAGATAACTTCAAGGATTGTCTCAGCTGCATTTCAGTAATCACCAAGACAAATTAAAAGACAACAAAACAGATTTACTTCTTATATATGGGCAAGAATGTAGAGGTATTGATTATCTGCTTGTTATTAATAACCATGGGTAACATCGGCACTGATTACCTTCCTGTTGCTAGTAACTTGACCGTTAGGTCAGTGTCTCTCCAAGGACAGAAAACAGATTTGACCAAAATTAAACAGTGCTTTTTAGAACGACACACTGATTTAATGTGCTAAGACTTCCTGCCATGGCCCTCTGTGTGTGTGTGTGTGTGTGTGTGTGTGTGTGTGTGTGTGCCTCCACAATTTGATAAAAACCTATACACAATCTGTGAATGCAATAAAAAAGAAAGTTAAATGCCAAATGTCTTGTCTTGTGTTTGTTCACTTATGGTTAAGGCTGGGGTTGGGTAGGGGTTAAGGTGGTCATAACTGGGATTATGGTTATGCCCAAAGAAATTAATGGAGAGTCCCTGCAAAGATATAGATACCTAATCTGTGTGTGTGTGGTTTCTATGTTCTCAACATGTTGTGTGAGGTTTTTCCAAGCATGCCAGTTTCTTCACATCCATTGTGTGAGTGTGTGTGTGTGTGCGTGTGTGTGTACCCTGTGACCTGCCTAGGCTGCCACTTTCCTTGTGCCTTACACTTCCTGGGAATATAATCAAAGATCGCTAATTTTATTACCAGGATGCACCTATTTTTATCAACAACCAAAGACATTCATTTCCATGGGCAGCATTTTTCAATGAGAACATCACCTATATTTATTAAGCTGTGCTGCCCTCAATCAGCAGCTGTGCCTGATTGCAGTCTGATGAAAATGCAAGAGGCTGCTCTTTAATTAAAGGTTTCTCCATTCTTTAGATTACCTGTGGGACACGACCATCCATCGCTTTCATTAGATTACCTGTGGGACACGGTCATCGCTTTCGTTAGAGCACCGGCACTCATGTTTACGACTGGGCAATTACTGTATGCTCACTTTCTCAGGACTGTGTCTAAAAAATATTTTGAATTGTGAAGATGATCACGCAGGCTCTTGTAATACAATTAATACAATATCAATTAATTGACACAACAAACATAATAATTAAGCCCAATAGAAATAACATGGCTGCAAGCACCAACAGGTTCAACACAAAATCTTAAATCAGGCGACCAAGAATCTGCAGTTTCCTCCCCATACTGCCCATTTATCTAAACCCCACAAATACTACAAAAGGTATCAACAGTGTCTACATGAAATTCATTCGTTTGATATCAAGAAACTGACCTGTCAGAATAACATGAGCACTACATTGGTGTAGGTGTTGCAGGCTGAGCTCTGGGTGTGTGGATCATGTCTATCAGCCCTAAATGTACTTAGAATAGTGATACTATATTGATCCCCATGGCAAAATTCTCTTTGCCCCATCTAGCTTTCCATACAGGTGAGAGCAAGGTTTTGGGGGGAGGGGTCAGAGTGATGGGGCAGCCACCTTGTGGTGCCCAGGGAGCTGGGGGTTAAGGGCTTTGCATAACAGTCCATGGACTGTTTAAACTGCTTCTCTGGATGTTCTGATAAAGACCGAAAATTGCTTTGCACGACAGTTGACATAACTCCTTGTATTTACTGGAGGTTAACCTCTATGATGCCACGCATCCAGATGGTTAGAGCATTATGGACTCCGTAAATCGACTGTTCCTTAATCTAACAGGAAGCTATGAATGAATAGTGGCCCAAGATATGAGAAGCTTACTTCTCTGCAGGACATGCTAATCCTATAACTGCCTCTATTGAGCCCCATCTACACGCTGCAAATCCATTTTCCCGCAGCTCCCCCTAGGAACAGAAGCTCGAGGAGCAGGGAGAACGAGTGAGCTGAGTACTGGTTTGGAGAAGTGACCACTGAACACATCTGTGGCTGCCTACTGTCTCAAGACATTTAACAGCTGCTACTGTGGTTAATAAGGATGTGATGACAGCCCATTGGTTGACACATCTTTAATGAATGTTACATTTATATAGCACTTTTCGAGACACCAAAAGCTCTTCACATAATCAATGGGGAGCAACTTCAGCCACCACCACTGTATAGCACCTACCTGGATGATGTGAAGGCAGCCTTTCTGTGCCAGCACGCTCACCACCACAGCTATGGTGGTGAAGGGGCAGGAGAGAATTCACCAATTATATACAGGGGATGATTAGGAGGCTGGATTTGAAAGGGCCACAGTGGGCAATTTTAGTCGGGGCATTGGGCAATCACCCCTTCTTTCAAAAGATGCCCAGGGACCTTTTATTACTACAGAGAGTCAGGACCTTGCTATTAAATCTCATCCAAATGATGGTGCCATTTTTACAGCACCGTGCCCCCATCACTGCACTGGGGCACTGGGATCCGCACAGACCACAGGATGGGCGAACCTTTTGGCCACACCAACACCTTTTCCAGCAGCAACCAGCCTTCCTAGTTGGCCTCCCATTCAAGTACTGGTCAGGTCCAACCCTGCTTAACTTCAAGTGGATCACCTAGTTGGAACTGCAATGGTATGACTGCTGAGAGGAATAAACCAACCAACCATCCATTCATTCTTTCATCCATTCATTTATTTATTTCCTGTACCTGCTTGTCCTATTCAGGGTCAAGGGCGGTCCGGAAGTTATGAGCACAAGACAGGATGGAGCACCAATACATCTGAGGATGGGCTCTTAAGCAAAGCCGCTAACCCTAACCCTAACCCTAACCCTAATGGCTCCAGCCAGGTTTGTTTCTTAGCTGTAAGACACCTTGCACACATGGAAATAACATGTGGAAGCTGGGGGGTGGGAAGGGCTTGGGAACGTGGCTCTGGGCAGCTGTGTGGAGATTATAACCCCGCCCCCCCCCAATGAGATCTCAATCAGAAGAGCCCTATGGAAGACAACTGCAGTCATATGGAAATGAAGGTGTGAGTTTATGCCTAGATGGGGGAAGGGGGCCAGACTGCCATCATTGTCCACCCCTCCCACCCCACATCTCTGCTGACCATGAAGCAGGAGAACAGGGTCTGTGTCTGTAAGCCTCTGCCCCCTCGCCCCCGTTCACACATCTCCACTCGTCCTCCACAGTGGGAAACTTGCACCCCCTCCCATTCCACATGCAATGCTAAGCTGGGTCTTGGGGAGGGGGGGGGGTGCCATAATTATCGAGTTACTCTTTATTCAACATATAGGTAAAAATCTTAAGGCAGAAGAATCTGGTTAAGGGACTAGGGCTCTGATCAAGAGGTCGAAGCTTGATTTCCAGGAGACGACTTTCTGTTATACCTTTGAGTACGGTTCTGAATCTCGACTGCTCCAGCGTACGCAATGAAAGGGATAAGCATAATGCGAAGTAAAATGTCCTCAATTTACATTACATTAGATTACAAATATGTCGCTCTCAGCCAGACCTGACTACCTGATTTTGGAGAGGCAAAGCTGGGTGAGCTGGCATTTTTATAAAGTCTGTATACATAATCCGGTAACTCAGCGCCCGCTCTTCTGCATTTGCCAATATTTTTTTTAGAAATTCAATAGAATATAGAGGTTAATATGCTGAACTGGGTGCTCAGCCTGGCTAATATTCATAAAGAACAGCATACTGTATGACTGACAGCTGTTCAGTCATGGAAGATCTGATGGCCTTGTCATCACCATCCTGACATGGAGCAACCAGGCTTTCAGTAATGCATGCTGGGGAAACCAAAGATGCAACGGAGGGACCCAGATCCAGTCTGACACAGAACCTGATCCTCATTCTAGTTCAAGAAAGTTGACAGTTTCCTAAATTCCACACTTTATTCCCACCATATAGTTTCAATGAGTCTAATATTCTTAAAAACAATGCAGTTACGTCAATAGTACTGTAATCAATTACAGAGAAACACATAAGAATTACTGCCTAAATGAACATGTACGTGTTCGAAAAAGATTTCTTAAACGATTTTTAAATTTTATTTTTCTGGAAATGACCAGTCAAGCACCTATCAAGATTTTGTCGATATTTAAATTTGCTTTCATGTCCATAATTTTATTGCATGTCTAATGTCATACAAATTAAATTAGGCCTGTTTAAAATGCTACAGAAAAGACTATATAATATAGAATGTGAGGTTCGCAATGAAAATGCCCCGTTCATCATTACTCTAGGTTCAATGGCCACGTTAATTAGGTCTAATTAGCCTCATTCAACAAGAAGTACAGCAATTAAATTTATACTGTTTTCAACAGTAATTGCATGGCCTGATTATACGGAGTACTGCCCTCATTAACCAATGCTAGAATTGTTTAAAAGGGAAATGAATAGCGGGGACACCCACCAACAAAATATCAACGGATAAATAACAATGAATATGCTAATTTGATTCATTAATATAAAATACCAGATATTCATCCACTCACCAAAGACAAGACTAACATTACATATACAAGCGTTTACAACTGTGTATGATGTGAAAAATAAATCCCAGCGTTACAGAATATAATGTGGCCCTTAACCTACGGACAAGGATGAGGTAAAGATTTTACTCCTTTCAACTTATCGGGCAACTTTTGGTTGCGGACATTTTGATGTTTGTGAACAAATCCGACTGATTTTCATTTACCTAGATAAGATATTGTGTTTAAAAAAAAGCAAAAAATATTCCTAATCGGTCTGGAGAAAACTATCGGGTAAAATATTTGCCAGCAAGGTAAGTGCGGGTGGAAAATGTATAGAACATAAAATTTAACCAACAAAGTCCATCTCTATCTTACACCACCCTCTATGAGAATTTAAAAAATGCCAATACAAAAATCATACCTAGACACTTAATATATTGTGGTTAATAGACAATTTAATATAAACAATATAACTAGGAATGCAGAAAAAACACCGATTCACCTTCTTTTAAACAGTAGACTGTAAGTCATCCACCGTGACTCTCCAAAAACGTCCATCAAAATATGGAATTTACACCCAAACCAAAGGATCATGCACGTATATAATTTATTTTATATGCGTTGCATTATTATTTGCAGAACAGGTGAAACAGTCATGTAAAATTAAATCTAAATATGCTATAACATGCGGCAATATAGCCACTCAATTTACATATTTTATATTACTATATCAATGTACTGTATTAATAGTGCTTAAATCATAGATCATTAATTGCATAGCAAGTGTATTTTTTAATTTGTAGTCCAAGCGAAGTTCAAAATCACCATCCATAAACCCCGAAGTCTTTTAAACCACACTTACCTGAACAAATAATTATTGTTAAAAATGATAGCAGCATCCGTGGTTGGTTCATGTTTTAAGAAAATCCGTAATAAACTCTCTCTTCTTAATCTTGAAAAACGTTGGATTTTATGTTGAATAACGTTTGTTTCCTTTATCCTCCCGAATATGAGTAGGCGAAATTCTGAACCAAAAATTTAAACTAATGAAAAAGCGAAAAAAAACTTTATTCTGCAGAATAGAATATTTTACTTAAGAAATCATTTCTGCAGTGATTTAAAAACCCTTTTCCAGCATGTGCCGGAGTAGGCTACCGTTCGTCTGCACAGCTAGCCTACTTTAAGAATAGCCCCTGTTCTTCCCACTATTCTGGACCCCTTAAAATTAGTTATACAGCGTTATTGTCGTCCCCGTTGTCACCCGCGGTCAATGAATGGACGCTGACACAGGGTTCTATCGCAGGCAGGAGCAGGTTGGCCAAGATGAACCAATGACCGTCGACCCGGCGCAAGATGGGAGGTGTTTTAAGGAAGATGGACGTTCCGATCAAGCTGATTCCTCAAAGCCTGTGATCGACTTTTTGACATATCAGTATAGCTGCATTATGGGGTACCAAGTCTTACACTTGGTAGCACTTTACTTAAAGCTGTCATGTATAATGTATTATAGATAACCTTTATAACACATTCTTAATGCATAATAAACATGCATATAATGTGCTGTTTTTAAATAATATTTATAGCAATGTCTATAATGCTTTATCAATGCATTATAATGTGTTATTACTGTGTTCATATATTCTTATAGACATGGCATTCATAGTGTCACGTTTGCCTGTCACATCCAGCTAACCCTCCTGTCTCTTCCCTAATGTGGCCCTGATGAACCAGACTGTTGCTTGTTGCCTCGTTAGTCTTTGTATTTAAGTGCCTGTTTGTCTTGTCAGCCCCTGTCTGGTCAGTGATGTCACTCCTCCTGTCCATCCGTGTCCTTCCCCATACAAGCCTTCTTGTTTTGACCCCTTGTGGTCTTATTTGTTTCCCTGCTCCCGTTCAGTTCAATAAACACCTTTTTGTTGGCCAAACACCTGCCTTCCAGTCTGCAACAGCAAGCAGCAACCTTGTGACGTATAGAAAGTTTTACCAAACACTGACATTGTATCCTAAATTTGACATCTAAATATGCAGTCAGCTCAAGAGATATAAAATGAGCAAAAATCACTGGCAGTTCTGGCATTAAAACAACTGAATCAATTCCATTAAAATTGCAAAAAAATACAGTGAGGTTTTCAGTGTTGGGTCACTATACTGCACAGTTGCACATCATATCGGGCACTAAATATTAAACTTCACCTTTCCTGTCTTCCTCGGCTCAAACTCCTAAGTGATAGCATCATAGAAAATTTGCCCAGCAACCATATGGTTCATGCTGATGACAGCAGGATTACTGAGATGATTCTGTGACAAGGTGGACCTCAGGTTTGACTTGATGAGTTTAAGCTCCTCTCCACTCCTACTACTGTCACTGCAAGAGTGAGAGCGATTCTGCAGACAGTCCATAAATTTGGATACATTTCTAAGAATTACTTTTCATGTATGTATGTCAGTAACTCAAGTACTGTCATGTTCTTGGATGCCAAATCAGGCATGTTACTACACAAGTTTTCTTCCATCCAAATTTGACTGCCCTTTATGCATTACAGTTTTTCTGGATTGCTTTGGCACATTTTATGAAATATCCCCACGGTACATGACTTTGTTGCCATTTTGCTGTTTTTGTGTTATTCCGTGCTGTACGTGTGACTTCTTTGTTTACTATTGTACTGTGTCGACATCTGCACAAGTAACATGAGCATGCGAGTGCTTTCTCTTGCCAGTGAACTTCACATACAGTAATTTAGAGCCTTGCAATGTTGAACCTGGTGTCTTTGACATGAATAAGTATCAGTTTGTTAAACAAAAATGATCAGTCAGTGACAATGAGAAAGTGGGAACTGACTACCATTGAGCGTTGTGGAGCTCAGGAGCAGACTTACACTGACATACTGACAATAAATCTAAGCATTTTGACTGCCATGGTTAAAACGATGCTTATTTTACTTTTAATTTTGGTGCCACTTCCTAATTCTTTGGTGGCATTATTTGCTTTTGAGGCATGAGTTAATTGTTTCCAGTAAATTACAGGCTTTTGCAGCTAAACCATAGTGTTGTGCTGTATGCATGAACCATTTTGAGAAATGACCTAATAGTCGTGAGAATATTAAGCATGTTTCATGAAATATGCCAAAGCAATCGAGAAAAACTGTAATAATATATTTAAGCATTTTGACTGTCTTGGTTAAAACAATGCTGATTGTACGTTTCATTTTGGTGGCAGTGACTAATTCATTGGTGGAATTATTTGCTTTTGAGACATGAGTTAATTGTTTTGGGTGAGTAGCTTTGAATGCCTTTTGCGGCTTAGCCTTATTGTTGCGCTAAATCCATGAATTGTTTTGAGAAATGCTCTTAGGCCAAACCCGAAACTGAGAATGTTAAGTATGTTTCATGAAGTGTGCCAAAGCAATTGAGAAAAACTCTAATAAAAAACTATGCTATTGGTTTATGTATTTCCGATACTGTACTTTTTATTGTTATTTTAGGGCGTACTCTTTCTACTTATATAAAAAAAAAAATTACTTAATGACGCATTTCTCAGAACATATGCCTGTTGTTAAGCAAGACACGACTGTAGCACATTACAAACATACACCTATCAAGGAGTAAAGTAGGGTTAGTGCAGTTAGGCTGAGCTTCCATTGAATGCCTAGTTACAAGTGTTACAAGCAGTATTAGAGCCAGAGCTATACACAATCTTTCAAACATAACCAGAACTTAACAAGATAACTATTCAAATGAACAAATTGCAACACAAAGACTATTCCAAAAATATGAAGTGGTGAAGTAAAGGCATTACTGGAAGGCTGGGGAAGCTGTATGTCTGGTCACAGTCTATCTACAGTCTATCAATCCGGTCCTCAGGGACCCACAGACAGTCCACGTTTGTGGACCGGACAGAAATGTGGACTGCCTGGCAGGGAGATCGGAGGGAACAAAAATATGGACCAAGTGTGGGTTCCTGAGGACCGGATTTGGAAACACTGATCTACAGAGTTTTATAATGAAATGACTGTGATGCTCAATCACAAGAAATTTACAGCCTGTTCAGCATTTGAACCCAGGTCCTCTCCCAGCCAGAGCAAGAACCATACCCCTACACCACCAATAAGCTACACTATTTACAAGCAAGCCAAGGTAAAGACCAATGAGCTGTGTGTCTTAGGGCTCCAGAGGCTGTTCTTAAGATCAATGGCATAATAAACTGCACTAATTACCAGGATATTTCAGTCTGAAACCTGGTTGACTTGAAGGTTGACCATAATCATAATGAAAATCGTTTAATTTATGCAATCATTTATTTTATGCAAGGGTTCCAAAAATTCTTGAACTGAATGTGCATATACATTCACTGGCCACATTAATAGGTAAGCCTTGCTACAGGTAGTTGGGTTGCACCCCCTTTTGTCTTCAGAATTGCCTTAATTCTTTGTGGGAAGAGTTCAACAAGGAGTTTCAAACATTCCTCAGAGATTTACGTTGTTCTTAGCTGACAGGAGTGGCATCCGCCGTGATCTTCTGCTGCTATAGCTCATCTGCTTCAAGGTTCGACATGTTCTGCATTCAGAGATATTTGTATTCTGCATACCTTTGTTGTAACGAGTGGTTATTTGAGTTACTGTTGCCTTTCTATCAACTTGACCCAGACTGGCCATTTTCCTCCATCCCCTGCCATCAGCAAGGCCAGAGAACCACCATTCACTGGATCTTTTTCAGGCCATTTTCTGTAGAGATGGCTGTACATGAAAATCCCAGTAGATCAGCAGTTTCTGAAATACTCGTACCAGCGCGTCTGGCACTAACAAGCATGCCACATTCAAAGTCGCTTAAAACACCATTTTGGTGTTTGATGTGAACATTGACTGAAGCTCCTGACCTGAATCTGCATAATTTTATGCATTGTGCTTCTGACACATGATTGGCTGATTAGAAATTTGCCACAGCAAACAGTTATACAGGTGTACCTGATAAAATGAGCACTGAGTCTTTATCTTAATCCCAAAGCTACAAAGCAGCCTGCAAGAAGCTATTTTTTTCACAGAATATGTTGCTCACTTGCATAGAAAACACCAGTCATTCTCTAAGTGGCGTTCTGTATCATCCAGTCTCTGGAAACATCAAGACAGAAGACAATGCTGTTTTCAGCATGCCTCATCCCTTGCTGTCGTGCTATTCCGCATGTATGTCTTTCTGGTTGACTGTTTTCCTTGTGACGCATTTGTGAACACTGACATAGTTCAATGCAAGAGAGCACTGAAGATCCAAAGGTGTAACCTAAGGGATCTCTGTGATCTCCTGTAGAACCATTCACTTAAAGTTATTGTTATGAGAATAAAATGGTTGGATTGAATTATCACTATTTCTGATCAAAACCAAAATCTGTTTCAAAATGGGGGTCAGTACACTATGATGGTGACAATCAATGGTTTTGTTTTTTGTAAATATGAAAAATAATCAATTAGACCCAGACTTAGCTCTCATTGCATTGATGGGATCATCTGACTCAAACTGCCCCTTAACAGAGCTGCTAGGTTCACATAATCCTCTCATTAAGTCAGTACATTTTGAATAAAAGCAGTCAATAATAACATAAATAACCTACAATTTTCAGTTGAATTTTGTTTCATTAGATTCTGTTCAAGTTATACCGTATTGTAGGTCAAAATAAAGCAGGTGTACAGACCATTCACAGACTCTCAGCACCATAAAGTTAAACATCCCCAAATGGAGACCATCCTGCAGAAATGCAGGAGGCACGGCAGTAAGACTGACATCTTACTTACTAGGCAGATGATGAACGCCATTGAAATACAGGCTCTTCATTCCGACAGACTACCAAAAATTGTTTACCATCAGTTGTGAAGCATTGATCTTAACATAGTAATGTCTGTGTAACTTCTTATTTTGATGTCCTTGA